AGCAAATGCCCAAGCTTTACTGCAAACAGCTGAAAATATATCCAAATAACACAGAGCAATCCATATTTCAACTGTTCACCAAAAGCACAACTGAAAGCTTTAAATAATGCAAAGCTTATTGACTTCTGCAAACTCTGGTGGGATTTCATAAAGTTAGGCACKACACAAATACACAGCAAATTCCTTCAAGAGATGACAATACAAGGCCCTGAACTGAGCACACCACCCTTTAATGGACCTCTACAGGTGAGGGGACCCCATTCTGCTTCACATACGCAACATAACTGGACGCCAGTGAGAGAGAAAGAGAGGCAGGGAGGGAACAGCACTCACTCCAAGATTACATTGAAGGTCATAGAGAGCATGGGATCTCAACTTCCTGTCCACTGCAGTAAATTTTTTTTTCTTTAATTTATTCTGAAGACTTCACAAGCAAGTAAGAGACTATTCAATCCAAGCACATGGTCAATAGTTTTCATTCACAAGAGCAAAGACACAGCGCAAACCTAATCAACTCTCCCACACTTAAGTTTCAAAACCACAGTGAGATAGCATGTTCAATTTTTATTCACTGTGTTTTCCTCACACTCTTCATGTTTTTGATGTGCTACTTCAACTGCTGGAGTGTTTTCAGTTTGATTGAGGTCATTCTTTCTGAATCACATTTTGATTTAAGTCGGGGTCAAAACATCAGCATAAAAGTAAACAGTAACATGCTGTAGATTAGTTTTGACAGCAGGATATGACAAACAAGCAGTGTATGTGAAGAGATTTTTTTATAATATTATTTCAAGCATATAAGCTTTCTCCCACATCATCTTTGAACATTAATCTACTTTTGAGACTTATGTGAAATTTCCTGGTGTGCTATTTTAGACATCAGTAAAAACAAAAAGGAAAAGTTACTTGTTTGAGATTAGAGACAATGACAAAAACTAAAMCAGAACTCCAAACATCAGTGGACTGTACACTATCAGTGTACTGCTCTGATGACAATATCTCACACTCAGTAACTAACTTAGTTTCTAGGAAGCTAGCAGAGAATACATCAAGCATTAGGAAAAAAGAAGTCCTATTTGCACTGGTCTATCTGGTATCATAATGTACACATTTAAATAGCAATTTTTTCCCAGATCCAGCACCAAAACGTAACTTCAAAAATTATCGTCAGGAATTAAACAGCCTAAACATCAATACTGCTCTACCTGAACCTATCTTGTGAACAAATGGGTAGGTAAGAGAATGATCAAAGTAGTCTCAACAGGCTTTTAGTCAGTTGGCCAAATAAAAAGAGTTGCATAAAATGAAGATTTTCTAAGAAAAATAAACAAATATAAATGTATATAAATAAAGGAACAAAACAGTTCAGGTAAAAAAGCATCCTCATGTTAGACACTCTTCAAAACATTTTACTTACGATGGGGTTAGGGCTTACATCAACCTAAAACCCAGAAGGCTGCTCTGTGTATGTCGTCTATCCTTCCACCCCAAAACAACCCCAAACCACAACAAACAAAACACAAAAGAATCCCCACACCATTACAAACTGATAGCTGTCTCAATCTATGCAGCAGTACAGAATGGATAATTTACAATAGGAAATTATAAAACGTACAAAAAGCCTGAAAATGATACATATTTGCCAAAGAAACTCTATAGTTATTTTCTGCCCCTCCTAAATAGCAAGAGGCTCTTTGAGACCAAAATTTTTTCCTGCCATGTCATTCTTTTGCAATGGTTCACAGATTTCCTAASTGAAAAAAAACAAACATAAAATTTTACAACCTTCTCAGTCTTACTCATTCCCCAGCAATACATGGGCACTGAGGACCCAGCTAGGCACAAAAAAAAGTCACAGATCAGTGTTTAGTCTGAAAAGGATGTTTAAGGTTTTCTGGCTGGTTCATATGCAGTGTTCTCTGCTCTCCTATCTGTTCAGACACCAGAYAATTTCCACAAATTCTGTTTCTCTACCACAGAGAGAGTATACAGCAATGTCACAGTTCCTCAAGACCCTAATTTATGGCCAGACCACACAAASTGCTTCAGTTTTGCTTCTTGCTGATAGGCAAAGATGTCTATGCCAYATTTTTGTCCCTCAAGCTCCTTAACTAAGACTGGATACTAGAAACAGTCATGTCTATCTASAATACTCCAGTATGAATCTTTTTTCTACTTGTAACAGCTCCATCTATAAAGAACTGCTTGCTAATCCTTCTTCACATGAAGCCAGCGTGATCTTCTCTCCATCAGCTCCATCCTTCCCCCAGTTTCTCCACATGYATATGCAAGGTAAAAGGGAAAGTGTCTTCCACCTCCATTTTTCACTTTCTTTTGTCATATGGTGATCTATTCTTCTCACGCTATTCACCTGGCACTTGCTTTTGTCAAGTTTTTTCTGTAGCAACTTCTCTGGAGTGCCTACTGCATTGTGTCTTACTATAGCCACGTTCAACTTGGCGCTGCTCAGGAGCAACAAAGCACAACCTCAGCCCTAATCCCTCTCCACAACTTCCTTCCTGCAGCTGTAGGGAAAAATGTATGCCCACATTTGGGAGAAGGAAAGGATATTCCTAGCTACTTCCCTGTTTCCTGATTATTATTTTTAAACTGTGTTCTACTAAGTTTAACTTGACACAACCTGGTAAAAGCTAAAGCGCTTAAGGACAGAGCCTGAACACTCTTCCCCCTTTCTTCTCAACTGCTGTTTTATTTTGAGCTCCCACCTTGGTCTAAAGGCGCACTGTCCAAAGTTGTCCTTCCCCTCCTGTGTTCAGTTACTACCCCTTGCAAACAGGCACTTATATTGTAGCTTATGATCAGTGGGACTAGATCTCACAAGTACCTTTAATCTTTGTCTTGCTTTAAAACTATTGTTTGGATTATGTTTTGCTTTTTCTAAATCCAAGGTTTAAACAGCTATTGCACTCAGCAAAAGGAAGAACTGCAAGACAACACTTGCCCACATGTGATCCACAAGTGCAGTGCAGRTTGCCAATGAATTCTGCTCAAAAGTCCATACAAGATAAATAATTAGGAAAAAAATGCACAAACAAACAACAAAAAAACCCCAAACACCAAAGAAATACTTATTAGTGCCCTTAAATGTACCACTCATAGACTACATGAAGCAGCAGAAAACCTGGCAAGAAAAGCAAATGTMAGAAATCTGAAGACTTAAGGAAAGTCATTGTCTATTTGAGAAACAAATTCCCCTTTTGAAAATGACAGATGTGCTGCTGGGATAAGTTTAAAGTAATAGACTGCCTAAACAGAAGGAAACATCAGTACAAACAATTCCCTTTTCTTGAAGGGCTTCAATCATATCTGTTCAAACTCTGTGAATCTCAACCTGCCTTTTTTTTTTAAATGTAGGAATGCCAAGGAAGTCAATAGAGAAAAGACCCTAGTATTTTCTTCACAAATGAACCAAACCAAACCATGGCCCCAGCCATCACAACTTCTAGGGCATGAATCAATTCTATCATACCAGTAYGTGACATCCCTGACAAAGCTTATAAACACATATAATTTATTACCTGTGAATGAATGCAATCACAATCAGAGTTAAAAACAGGAATTTCTCAAATATTTGAACTTGTTCAGTACTTCAAGACACTAATGGCCACACTGACAAACTTACACATTCTTATCACTCTAAGGATATGGGCTAATATTCACACTGTTTTATGAATGTTTCATTCCCTGCAGACAAAGTCAAGCAAACAAGAGTGGCTGTCCAACAACTGACTGGGGTTTTTAATCACCTTAATATCAATAGCATCAGACCTGTGAAAGAAGTACTAGGAAATGACTGAAACTGAGCTCTTCTTTAGAAAGATATATTCATATTTTTTTTCCATACATTTATTATTAGGATGTCTTTCTTCTCTTGAATCTGGTATAGGCACATGACCAGTCCCTCCTCGCTAAACTCCTATTCCATAGCCTTATTATTCTTACTCTTTTTTATTCTTACTCCATTTTTTCCTGTCAGACCTCAATCTCCTCCCTCCTCCGGTGCAGCAACTTGCCTGGGAAGCAAATTCTCCTGTTCAGCCAAAGTAAATCAGTTCCACCTACTTCTGTACTACATTATATTTACCTGCTGCTTTATAATGCTGCCACATASTCATGCTTTCAAGTAGACTACGAGTCTAAACCTTGGAAATGCTTGAAAGCTGTTCTCAGCAATGCTACAGAACATGCTTAGGTGTTTTGCTCGGGGCTTTCTTTCCTTGCTAAACCACAATGAAAAGACTTCGTGCCAAAAATCACAGACACTACATGTTAGGTAAAGTCAGACAGGGACTTTACAAAGTTTGGAGAAAATGCCACGGACCCAAGAACATTCTGGACACCTGTCAAAAGTTAGGGGAGAGTAAGGGCTGCCTCACTTGGTGAGGGAATCAAAATCCGATCCATGAAAAAGTGTGCATTTCTGCCCTTTCTCAAGCAGCTTCGCCCGTCTGTTTGGTTTGGCTTCGTCTCCCGCTGGAAGCCTGCCGCAGGGAAACCAGCTCAATGCGAGAAAGCCTTGTATTTTATCTATTTATTTATTTATTTATTTCCCTTTCCCCTATTTAATGAGCAGCTCCAGCTCTATCCCCATCCCCAGCCACCGTCAGGGAGGAGAAACCCCCGCCAAACGTCAGCGACACACACATACACACACACGGACGGACACACAGCCGCAGCCCGGCAGCCGCGGCGGCGGGGCGGGGGAGGCAGCGCCGCGGTTCCCCGCACACCCAGGGCAGCGGGAGCCGGCGGATGCGGGAGCCGGCAGGATACCAGAGCCAGGGGGACACCAGAGCCGGCGGGATGCGGGACGAGGGGCGGCGACCCCGGGGCGCCTCCCCAGCCGCCCCCCCCCCACCCCGCCGCCGCCGGGGAGCGGGCGCGGGCCGCGGCCGCCAACGGCCCCACCGCCACGGGAGGAAGAAGAGGAGGAGCGGGGAGAGGGAGAACAAGAAAGGGAAGGGAAATCTGGGTCTCACCTTCCTTCTCGGCCCGGGCCGTGTGGAGAAGCAGCGCCAGCGCGAAGCGCAGCGCCGCGCCCCGCCAGGCGGCCGCCCAGCCGCCAGCGCGGGGGAAGGGGCAGCTGCCGGGGGAGCAGCGGGGGCAGCGGGGGGAGCAGCGGGGGCAGCCGGACGCCGCCGTCATCGCGCTGCCGCCACCGCCACCGCCGCGGGTCCACCGAGTGTCCGCGTCTGTCTCCGGCCGGGCCGCGGCGCGCGCGCGGAGGAGCTCGGGGAGGGGCGGGGCGCGGGAGGGGCGGGGCGGACACCCCCGCGAGCGCGCGCTGCGGCTCTTGACGCGCGTGTCACGGGTYGCCCGCCCCCTGGCGAGGCCACGCCTCTACCGGGCCAGAGCGGCGAGCAGGTGCCATTTTAAGTGCGGGCAAAGCGTCTTTCTTTTCATCCTCCTGCCCTGGGCACGGGGTTGGCGACTAGATCGCTTTGTCTTTTTTTGTTTTTTTGATTTTTTTTTTCAATTTTTTTTTTTTCGCATTTTAGAATGCATTTTTAGATCTTCTGTAAGCGCCGGCTGTTCGCGGTGAGGTCACTCCGCCTCTTTAGCGCTCTCCTCTCGCCGTCTCTGGCAGGCCCGGGGGACGCTCTTGTTTCCCTGCGGAGGCTGTCGGGGTTTCTCCCGGCCGCGTCCAAGATGGCGGCGGGCAGGCCGGTCTGGCTGTGCGCGGCGCCCTGCGGCTTCGCTGGAGAGACTGSGGTGTTTCTCTCCGGTGCTCTATACTTTTATCGTGTTTTATCTTCCCTGCTGGAAGCCCCARGTGTTGTACAGTAGGGGTGTCAATAGTCCTCACCCTGAAGGAATCCCCTCCACCCCAGCTGCTGGGCCGCTCCGGTGCTATCGGCGTAGCACCCTCGGCCGCAGTGGAAGCGGAGGGCGGGGAGGTTTTGCACGCCTGAGGCACAGTGAGGGTCTGAGCTGGAGCCAGGGCATGACACCACGCGTCTGCCGCTGTTGAGGGAAGACACGTACCTATCRCTATCCGTTGGGTGACACACATGGCCATAAGGCATTTGGGAATGCACGGAGTGAGTTTGGCAGTGGGGAAGAAGGCACATTGTTATACGTATGAGGTTGGTGTCTGTCAAGAGGAGGTTGCAGTGGATAATGGGTCCCTGGAACCAGTGTTGACAGCAGCTTTGATACCAGGTGTGCCATGTGGTGATGCTCCCAGTAAGGGATGTGAACTGAATATGGTCTGGCCAAGACTGATAGTCCCAAAGTCATCTTGGGTATAGTATCAGAAGAAAAACTCTGTAGTACAAATAGTCTGTCCACTGAAGAGCTGCCTTAGCTTTTTAGACTGTATGCACCTACATGCTGTTCTTAAGTGCTCACTTCACCAACTGATCAACATGTCACACTGGGTTTGAAGGGGTTGAACACATCATTGAGTTTCAGCTGTCACAACAGCATAACAGAACTTGGTAGTGTAATAGAWCCAGAGTCTCTCGGGGACTGACTAACAGCTTAACTAAAAATAGTAACGTTTGTTATGGCTCTTACACAGTCATAACATACACTGTTCTTTATTGTTAGAACTCCCCRAAGACACCTTGAAAGTCTGGATATGGTTGTTTTGTTGAACTATGGCTACAGCATAAACTAGGTTTATTTTCAAGGGAGAAATGGAAAGTTAGAAATTTTGGGTTGAAACCTTTCCTGGGAATAGTGATCATTTCCAGAAAACATGTGAGGAGGAACCAAAGACTTCTGTGTTATTACTAATCTTTCAAAGTTGCATAATGTTTTGACTACTGCATTGAAAACGGGTATACACGAATAATTGAAAAGGGGTATATACAAATCAGTGATTTATGAGGATGAGTCTCTGTTCATAGCTCTCAGACCACCCAAACCACAGTAAATATAAAGCTTGGTCACTGCTGTGAGCAGAAGCCCACATGTTGACTTCTGTGGGGGATAGGTATGTACATCATAGAGTATGATCAAACCCAAGAACTCAGACAAACACAGTTAGAGATGCTTTCTTATTACTGTGGACCCTGTATGATCTTGATTTTTCCTTCTTACTGGGCTTGCATTACTCTAATGGAAAAAGAAGTCAACTATTTTCTGTTTCTCGTATTTAAAATTCAGTGTTACGCAACCAGGCAGCCAGACTTTCTCGTAATTCATGCTGTAGAGCATCCTGCCCACTAAAATGAATGGGAACACTAATGAAACTAAGATGTAAGCATGGCAAAAKCTGCTTTGGAGTAAAAATGGAAATGCCAACTGTGCTATTAAGAAAAAAATSTCCATGATGTAAATGAGAGAAGAACCATGAGTCCTACTGTTATGGTATCTATGACTCTTCAACCTTAGAGCATTAAAACATGGGCAGTTTTTTTATTTGTTCTAAATRCAGAATGTCTTTTGCAAAAGATCTTATGAGTAGGAAACAAGCAGCTCAGTACATATTCTCCCTTTCATCTTTGTCCAGGACTCCCACTGTTTTCTCTGCAGGAAAAGCCAATACAATATGGTTCAATGTCTGTAAACGATAAATCAGAAAGCATTCCATTAATTTATTTCTGCTTTAATCTGGATCATATTATTTCATATGTATTTGAGAGTCTTCAAGTTGCTTTGTTTATATATGCAGTGTGTATAAATATTAACACTTAAATTTGGACACTGCAGTATCGCTTGAACCTGTTGAACAGTTTTTTAAAAACTATTTCTGTATTGGAAAAAWAATCTTATAAACTATGGCAAGACATAGAATATAGTTCTTAGGAAATGTATTTGTGTTCATAAACAGAAATTATATAAATGCTTAGACACTAAAGTTCAACAACTGACTCATCAGATGAAGAAATGCTGTGTTCTACAGGAGAACACTTCAGAAAGACTTTGAAATGGGAAGCTGTACTCTGATTCCTGCAGGTACAGTCARATTTGCCAGCGTGACTGCTGGAACAAAGTTAACACCAGAAGAGTGTGGTGGTTGGTCCACCCTCAGTGAAAAAGTGTGTACCTTAAGACTGCTACATTTACTGAGTTAAGTAAATGTGGTAGTTTAAAAATATTCCTCCTAAGAGCACCAAAGTGTGGCATTGAATTACTGTGTAAGATACCTTTGTTGATAGTTTATAGGCTTTTTTTTTCTGGGAAAGGAACCAGGACTGCTAAAATACAGAGTGGTTTCTGCCACCTTGATACGGAGGCAGAAATTTCTGGGAGACTGTCAATCTGGTTAGTTAGAAGCTGTAACCTCTTCAACTGCAGTACTCATTAGAGATTATCTGCCTGACAGACTCCAAAAGCAATAATCCATTGTTTGAACCACCTTGTCTCTCCTGCAGGGTGTTACCTCTTCTGTGGGACATGGATCAAATCCAAGTGATGTTGCACTCAAATAAATGAGAAATTTTTGTGGGGTCTATTTCTCAGGATGTGGGAGCACATGAACTCTCTTAAATCAGCATTGAGATTTCTGTCATAATGTGCCTCAGGTTACTTCCTTTTTGYTTTAACCAGATGTTGTACATCAATAATTGGTAGAAGATAAAMCAAGCAAAGGAAGAAATGGGGATAAAGGAGGCTGTTGTGTAATCCAATCAACTCTTCTGCTAGTACAGACTTACTCCTAATAGCTTGTTTATTAGTATTTTTCAAACTRTTTTTTAAAATAACTTATAGAATTCCTCTGGAAAATTTGCACGGGCTCTGCTCTTCACTGCCAGCAAGATTTTCTGCTATTCAGTCTTTCCMTGCCCTCCTCATTTATTTATTCCTACTTGTTCCCATATGTATAAGCACAAGTATTTCCTCTCCATCCTTAAGGTTTGCATTACTTAAGCATTTGCTGGCTGGAGACATGCCTCCATCTACCTCTGCTTTAACAAAACTGGATGTATTAAGCTCTTTTAACCTTTCTCTATAAAACCACTCTTCCAGATAATGCTTGTTGCTGTTCCTCAAATTGTTTCATTTGCCTTGATGTAATGATGGATGACACAGAAGTGATGCACATACCACCACTTTGTCTGCTAGGGAAAAGTTGTCCTTTTGGAAACATTTCAATAATCTTGATCTGTCAAAATGACTTTGCATCATTTCAGTGCTGTGCATCACTTGGCTACGTTTTTGGGCACCCTAAAGCAGCATTTACTACCCAGTGGGTCTGGGGTGTGTCTTTCACTTGCCAATACAGTCTGAACCTCTGTGCTGGAGRCAGCTCTGCATTGAGGACCAGTGGCCCAGGACTCCACCACTGTTTCATTTTCTGTGTCAGCTTCAAGTCATTGGAGGGCTTTATTTCCAACATTGGTGGTGTTGTGRAACTTGTGCATGATGAAAACAGAAGAGATATGATACAGTGGGATTTTAAAATTCAGGATTGTCTACAAGATTTATTTTCAGTGAACCCTTGCTACTTTTTGGTCAGTTATTTTATTTTCTAGGTAAACAATGGTAAATTGGTGGGAGGTGTTATTATTATCAAGCTCCTAAATTAAAATCCAAGAAATGTTTTATGTTTTTTGTTGACCCTGTGAGAAACAAAAAAAAAATAAAATAATAATTTCTTTAAGAATTTTACATTTTAGGAATTAAATTTAATGATCCAGAAGTTATTTTCTTGGAGAAAGGGATGATGACCTTCTGATTGGGCTCATAATCTGATGCATACTTGCCCAATGAGAGGCCACTTTCACTTTTGCCTTGATAAAAGCCATGACAGTCTTTGTGATTTTGGTTTGTCACTTCTCTCTAATAAAAGAAATTATGCAGTATTTTTTGGCCATAGTGCTAGCTGTAGTATCACTGTTGTGAACTGGAATGTGAACTGTTGCTGTGCAWAAATACCTGAAAGATGCATAAAATATGCACTACCCTCCTTTTTTTAGCCACCAGTTCAGGTTTTCCTACTGTTACATCATTGTCTTTCAAATGCCATATCATTGTCTCTCTCTTGTCGTGACCCTGGCACCAGGCAGAATGGGCTGGGCAGATCTTGGATGAACTAATTAGTTATGTCTGGTATGCAGATTTGATATATGAAAGGTAAAGGCATGGAGGAGGMTGGCTAGAGAAGTTGTGTGGCTGTAGCATAGTGACTGTTGCTTGACCTAATGCATTTGCAGTGTTCTCATGCCTTCTCCCATGCAGTGCTGTGCACTGAGTCATAGTGAACTTGGGAGATAGAACACAGAGGGCTCTATCCCACCTCAAAACTTGACACAGCAAAACACTTTAACACTGGGTTAGCTTTGTGCATAAGAGTAATGTCAGTGAAGGGAACTGCTCCTGTTTGACAGTGCATTTTTTAGATGCTTCGCTAGTATACTCCAAGCTTTCCAGATCCATTCCCCAAGGGTGTGGCAATACAGCCCCATTTGCTGTCAGCACAGTATTATTGCCTCTCCCGGTAATTGGCAGCCTGGCACGATTTCTGGTGCAGTTGATAGGTATTTTGGTGTGACAGCAATGTGTGTGATATTTATTCACCTGTACTGCACACTGGTTCAGCAAAGCTGGAATTTTCTAACACAGCACTCCTGTCTGTCATAGTCTGRTAGAAATCCAAGACTGCTGACATGGTATCATAGTGTGGTACTAGAATCATGCTAGATAGCTGCTCATTTTATGGTAAAGTCTGTGTATTGAATTTTCTGCCATAAGAGCAGACATGTCATGCTAAAATATCCGTGACTGCAGAAGTAATTTACTGATGCAATAGAAAAACAAAAAGGAGAAAGAAAGGAAAGAGGCCTGAACAAAATGGTGATAAACCAAATACCTTGTTCAGCCCAAAGATACAGAGCTGCCTCCTTAAGTTCCAAAAGCATTTCTGAGTATTGAAACTTCACTAGAAACCTGTTCTTTCAGTTAAATTGGATTCTGCTAAAATGGTGATACTCTCAGCTATGTGCTGTCTTTCCTGATAAGCACACGTGACAGCATTGCAATGATGTGCCAGTGCTAAAGGGTTTCTGTGCTTGAGTGAAAAGATTTTAGTTAATAGTCAGACTGGTGAAGTGCAACTCATTTTCATGGAAAGTTTAAAATCTCAATACACTTGATCATTTATCCAGTTGCCTCCATGCAGATTCAGAAACTCAGCCACAGACACTTCCATCTGATATTCCTGGCCAGAGTTTATCAGTCCCAGATTAACTGCCAATATATGTGGAACCTATGTTATAGGAGGGCTTTTTTCATGAGGTACTGTTGATTTCAATTCATAAGCTAAACAGAACCATAGATGAAGCGTGCAAAGAGGGTGCACGTCAAGGGTTGTGGATTCAGGTTGCTGCCTGGGCCCCTCATATTCAAAGGAGACTGAAATCAGACACATCTGCACGTGAAGATCAACTTGCAGGATGAAATTCTGATGGTAGAATTTGATTAAATGCCTTAAAAATTGAAAATGGTTCCATCTGTTTCTTACTGCTTTCTGTGCACGTGGTGTGTCTTCTGCTCTGTGTTTGTAATGTCTCACTTCTGGAAGAGCTCGAGGAGTTTGATGATTACCTTATTCTCAYTGCCCTCTAGACAACACTAAATATTTTCTCCATCTTATCTGAGTCATATGCGCTATGATATGAAGTATAATTAAGGGGGTGTCTGGACTTTCCTGTCCTTTCGAGCAGTCTAGGTTGTCATTAGTACTGCCATTCTGTGTACACGTTCTCAGATATGCACTTCTCTTTTGCCCTGCTGTTGTCTCTTTCATTTCTGTTTCTGGGTTGATTGTATAAATGATGGCTCTTCACTCTTGTCTGACTTCCCTTTGCTGATGTGGGTGAAGATCTCTTTCACTTCTGCATGTTAGAATAGAAAAAAAAAAAAAGATGAGACCAAAGGCTAGAGTAGACTCTCATGGTACAACTTTGTAGTTTTTGGAAGATCTTCCATGACACTTTGTGGTTGTGAATTGATTGGCATCACTTTAACATGTCTCCAAGTGCTTATTATCTTATCTCTCATACACGAAGTAAAGACTCCCAAGAAGCATTACAGAGATATCTGTGGGTGAGGGTTAGCCCCAGTACAGATTGTACCAGTATGAACATTCAAGATTCTATTCCYTTAGCTTCCATGTTTGTTTGTGATCTCTTCATCTGCTCTTGAAGTGTGCTGTACAGTCCTTTTTGTGCTATAAGGSTCCAGGGGAAAGAATGAGGTCTGCGGAGATGAGGTACGGAGCTCATGAGTGTTGTCTCCTCCCTTTCATGAGTGTTATCTCCTTCCTTTCTCCCTTCAGAGGAGACACCATGCAAAGCAGAAAAAAAAAAAGGGCAGAAAAAGAGAGAAGTGGCTCACCAGCTGAGCAGGGCAGGACTAGCACAGCTCCTGCAAGACATATGTAAGTAACAGCATGGGGCTGAGCAAATGGGATATAGCCAGTACTTCAGAAATCTGCTACAGCTCCCAGTGCCAGCTCATCCTAACTGGGCTAGCATGTTTTACAGTCCTCAAAATTCTATCTAGTGTCTATCAAATCCCAGTCTGCATAAGCTTAAATGTGGCTAAGTATGAGACACCCCAGATTTTTTTCATACAGTATAGTACAAAACGATTCAAAAGATGAAGTGTTTCCTTGGATGAGGAGCTGTGGCTGGTTGGAGGGCCCAAGAAACCTCAGTTGAGGCTCCTGCGTAACTAGTTTATTTTTTTTAAAGAAGCTTGTTTTTAATAAGAACCTGCTGCTCTTCTTCCAGGTGCTGCTTTCCCATCGGGGAACACAAGAGCTGTCAGCCTTGCCTGTCCAAACTGAGGTAYAGACGTCTGGGCATGCATCAGGGTGGAGGTGGAATTTCATCTAACAGAGAGAACTGAGAACCCAGAGAAGACAGAGCATTTTGGAACTGCTGTTCTCTCTGGAACATCTCTATTAAAAGACCTTATACATACCTCAGGGATTATATCTGTATGAATGGGTGTGGAGGGCTGCTTGTCTGCTCTTACACTTTCAGCTATTAGGCTGCAGGCCTGTTCTGATATGAAAACTGAAACCGTGACAATGTGACACTGTGTGTGCATTTACCATAACTRTTCTCTCTGCAGGACTTATCAACACGGCTCTGAGCTCTTGGTTAGTGCAGCTACCTGATACCACACCAGTCTGGCTGACATCCATCTGGCTCAGACCATAAGCAACTGCATGCACCRTCCTGCATGAGCGTTTTTGCTCAGTTGCAGTAGTCAGTTCCCACAATGGCTACTGCAGCAGTCATACAGAGACACAGAGTGAATTGCTAGTCACTGTGCAGTGGAAGCAAACTGTTCCTGAGACAGCAACACTCTTAGTATATAATTTCRTATTTTATAGTACATAATCCTTTTGGATTGTTCAAATAAAATGCAAAAATGGCAATATATTTAAACCAAAGGAAAAAGAAATTAAAACCAGAGCAGTTCTAAATTGTCATGTTTGAAATTACTTTGAAATGAAATTAAACTTTTCAAAGACAAATGGGTTTCTTGTGGCTCCAAAAGAAACAGTAAGCAATAAAATCCAGACTTACTTGTGTGTAAATGATTTAGGTGGTGAATGGGGAAGAGTGGGTCATARAGTGATGAGCTGAAGAAAGTACATYTGCAAGTTCTTGAAAAACCCAYGTGGGAGAGTGTTCCASAGAAAGACTGAATAGTATGACTCAACTTGATCCAGATAAGGTTTTCCTAGGGGAATAAAAGACAAAACCTTTGATCTTGGTTGCTGTGATAGAAAATTGAGTAATAAATAATGGTTCTGTTAATGTCTTAATCATAGCTTATACATGATGTTCTCTTGCCAACCTTCCTTTGCGTCTCATTGTACTTTGACACGGTGTGATTGCATGACTGTATYAAGTAAACTCAATAACTCTTCCAGAGAAGGCCTGTCTCCTTGTAGTGCATCAAAGCTGGACATGTCAGAAGAAAGGGACTAGATGAAAAGCAGCCAAGGGGATTGTGGAATCAGCCATCAGCCTGCTTTCATAGAAATACTATTAAGAGAAACATCCCCAGGGAACCATTTGGGCAAACGATGACAGATGGATCTGGGGAGTCAAACTTCTAGCTTAAGCAACATCTGCTGGGGTTGGAAGTATCCAGAAAGCCATACTGTGCTTAAAAATGAAACAAACAAACCTGCAAGAAGAGCAAACCAAGATAAATTAGCTGTGACAACCTGCATTTTAACCAGAACCCTGCACGGAAAAGGTTGCATAGCAGCAGTCATGTCGGGTAGAAAGCAGAGATCTTTCAGTATCATCAAGCCTGAGCCAAACAAGGGCTGGTCATGTCCAGAACTTCAAGATATTAAACTCTCAATCCTGCTCAAAACATGGTTATTTACAATGCCTTCTAGTTTACTTGCACAGTGCTCCTATAGTATGGGGAAAGCAAAAGACTTAAACATTTTGGTAAGTGAGGTTTTGTTAGATTATTGTGTGGTTCATGAGTCTTGTGACCTTTTTTAAATCAGAAAGCTGGGATAGAGAATAGTTAAACTGATCAAACAGCAGGAAGAGAGAATATCAAAGCTTTGAATAGAAAACATATAAATTCATAAGGAAACGTATGAGGAAGTGTATTTTTGACGCTATTATCCCTAATAAAAACCCAACAAAATCTAGTGCTACAGTGATGTTCTGTGAAATTCTCACACTTTTTACTACCTTTCACCTAGCTTATTGATCTAMCGACTGAGTAGACTGTAGACTTTTGCTTAAAGTTAGTAAAGACACAGGACCCTGCTCCAAGATGAAAATATTCTGTGGCTACACATACCAGATTAAGGCTTGTTCCACTGGTGTCAGAACCACTGCTGTATTGTTTTATTTGCTTTTACAGACACAATTGTCAATAATCACTTGGCCTTCTGTTTAAAAAGGGAAATATCTGGTCAGTGATGAGTTGGTACCTAAGTGGCTACATGTATAGGAAGCTATGCAAGTTTCTAGAGGACAAGTGAAAATTTGATTTATTTATAGTTTAACATTTCATTTCTTTTCATGCTTCATATCTTTGAAACCAATGTCATTTTTAGCTCATCAAAATACAGAGACACCAGTTTCATTTTTGCAAACCTACATATTTAAAGGAGGATGTTTAAACAGTGCTGGCAACTTTGTATTTCTAAATGTTAGTGTTCTGGTTTTCATCTAAATAAAGAAAGCAGGATTTGCAGTTGAAATGTAAATTTGTAAGCACAAAATATACAGTTGGGAAAAATACATGGAGAAAAAATGCCAATTAAGAATATCTGTGTTAAAATTGGACCATAATGCCTGCTGCAATATTGCTGTTACCAATGCAGTCACTGTARAAAGCAGAGTACCAGGGCCAAGAACAGAAGCAAGAGGAATTAACTTTTAGCTACTCCAGCAGGGCAGAGCCCTGTGAATCACACTAGGAAACACAGATCAAATCCTCTTATGTAAACATCATACGGGGCTGGCTCTAATCCTCTGCGCACCCTAGGAGGACTGCTGATGTGGCATTCTCCAAACACACATTTGCTTTGCGTAATTGTGGGCAGTTGCCCTGGGGTACAGGAGGCCTAAGTGTGAGCTTTCATATTGCCTGGTCATGGTGAGCAAAAATAGATGAGAGCAAGCAAACTCTGAACGTGGCTGAGGKCTCCCAGGGTCACCCCATTTGCCTCTTGTCATCACTGCCCTCCCCAGAGACAGGATATTCTCCCCTTAGTACACCAGTATCTCATGCCTGGGTCTAAGCCYTTGAAGAGCCAGGCTGCCCATTCCAGTCCCAGGTTCTCCTGAATCTCCAGTCATGTCACTGGTGTTCCCCTGCTTTTCCCAGCATTGTGTGCTTCAGTGAAGAATGCTGAGGACCCATCTCCTGTTTCACACCAGTGTTTAACTTGCTGAATCAGGACTCCATGTAATGATTCAGACCTGGTTTCTGGTGACTAATGCTGGGCACTCCCTTCCTCCTGGGCAGCAGTAGCTCCTCAGTGCTCCCAAACCCTGTTCAGCCAGGCAGCTMCAGGGCTGGAGGCCAGATGTTCTGCTTTTTCCCACTGAACAAGTGGTGACTGTTTTTTATTTACAAAGCAATGTCAATTTTTAATCTGATTTTTYTTTTCAATCTGCATAGKTACATGATCAAAAAAGTATAATCCCTGCACACACAAGTCCTRTAGTTTACAGAACTGATCTTGAAGTCTGGGTGGGGTACTGTGTAATTTCTGTTGGTGTTCTTATTCAGCTGGGATAAAATGTGAAATAAAGCAAATACCTTAGGATGAAGACCTTATTGTAGGCATGGTTTTATCTATGTAAAGCTTTCTTCTTCCAGGTTATTTTATAATTCACACATAGAAGTCTAAGACTTAGAGGAGCACTCTGAGTAAAAGCTCTGGCACAATTTCCGTTATTTTCCTCTTCTCACTCATCAAACACAAAAAATGTGATATAATACAAACACAGCAATTTCTCACAGAGACAACCATAGAGCATTACAGCCAGTGACTCTCTGCAACTTTTCCCTATTTTGTTCAGCAAGAATTTAAAAGCATTATGARTTTGAAAACTGTTGTGATTTCTGTGGTTGCCGGAAGCTCACCAGTCCTCACAGGCTCCAATGTCAGAATGCCTGCTCAAGTCGGGACGATACCCTGAGTTCTTGATTCTAGATTACTGGTGAGACAAAATTGTTTGATCTATCAGCCAGCCTCATCCATCGTGTGCAATTTGTCTCTTCAAGGTTTCAGTGCAGACACCAATGACACCCCCAGAGATTTAAAGCCTTCTTAACTAGTCTTCTAAAAAGCTTCAGAGACCTTTTGGCTTGGTCTGAATCTTCCTCCATGGGTTTCCCCAGGTATCTTCAGTTTTCATCTCTGAAATTAGATGATTTCTCATCCTCTGAAATATCTCTGCTATATGTATTATATGAAAGGTATACTCTGCAAACCATGTGAGGGTTTGTGCTCTGTCTTAATTTRTCAGTGTCAGTGTAACTGGATGATGCAGACTCCCAGTCAAAACCAATAAAACATTCAACTCCTGACTTCAGGAAAATTTGCTGCTATTTTGAATTACATTTCTTATAGCTATTRCAAAGCTTTGACTCAGTTGTTGGTGAAGCAGCTGAGTAGGTTTTTTTAATAGTTCCATTATGGGACGTTCAAGATGATATAGATGTGGTCAAGCCATTTTCCACCACCCAATGTAATATCTCACACATACCCACTGTGACAAGAAAAAAAAAGCAAAGKCACCTTGTGGTATGTCACCTGATACTACACCCAGTTGTATTGCTCAAATTCTTGGAMATTTAAGGTAAATGGGTTGTATTAATGGCTTCTATTCTTTGTCCTCTGTGAATATTTCCCTAATAGCTAGACAAAGTGGGATTTTTCCAATTCTTTGCCATGACATGCTGTGAAATGTTTGGCTGTTGTCCTTGGAGTCTGGTAATGTCAATCATGTTTTTGTTGTTACTTAGAGCTCAATTTTTGATGCCACATGAGGCAGCAACCTGACAAGGAGAAAACCTGATGGCACAGCTGTAGTTTCAAATACTCCACCAGGTTTGCTTAGCATACTATTACACAWTGCCCTAGTTTAGAGCTGTCATGGGGAGCAATTAATCTTTGTCACTCCATACTCATTCTAGAAGTGCCTGAAGCCCAAAGAACTCCCTGGAGCCACATCTGTTTCTGTCAGCTTTCTGTGGAGGGGCTCAGTTCTGCTCCAGAGCACATTTACTTCAGTAGCTTCAGTAGCCCAGAACACCTTCAGGGTCCCTAGATGAAGGTGACTCTCAACACAAGAGCATTAGAAATACTGATCATACAACATAATCTGCTGACTTTTCACACCCCCAAAGTTGATGGGAGATAAATTTCTTTTGAACTCTGCATAAGCTGATCATTAGTAGCTCCCAGTGTTWTTCAGGCAGTACATTTCCTTCCCCTCCAGCCTTGTAAGTATTTTCCATGGATCATATTTTCACCGAATCACARCTCTTTTCAGCTGTTGATTTCTGCTTAGAGCAGCAGGTGCCTGGACTGCTCTTTACATGTTACTGTGATGATTGTTGGCTGCTGACATCTCTACAGCTCCTGAGCTTTTCTGGATGAGGTTTCCCTCTATATGGGCAACTCCACCTCCTTTGGCTTTTGTCTCTGCATCATCTGCAAATACCATCTGGCTTGTGGGGCCCCTAAAACAACTTCTTTCACCTGACCCATGGGATGCCTACGAATGCATTGCAGTTGGGCCTCCTCCAACTCTTTAGTCACTTCACTAAAAATGTTTCCTTGAAATGCTGCATCTGGTCTAAATGACTCACCCCGAGGCTGGGAATTCACAGCTGATACCTTTAGAAAAACACCCTAAATTCCTGTCTCGATGTTTATAGCTCCGTTGCTAGCCTGTCCATATTATCTTCTATGGCTAGCAAAATATGAGTTACCTTTGTGCAAACTCTTTCAAAAGTAAATGTTAACACAAAAGTTTCTGTTAGTCTCCCATTGGGCACACAATCTCCCTGTATTACTCATTCTAAATTCAATACACAAAGTTTTGCCTCATTAAAACTATCTTTTGGTCAGAAGAGGGAAACCCCCAAAAAGCTTCCTCAATGCAAGTAACCACCCACCTCTGTGGAGATTGCCCTTTTACTGCTTTCTGGTTTGCTGTTTAGTTCCAATTTCCAAGGAGCCACATTTCTGCTTTTTTCCTTCCTGCATCTCAAGAAAAGATTTGTAAGTCTCTGCTTTGCAGGATGCGCTGCTTACACATGAAAACATTTGCCAAAAGCTTTTGGCCTTGACGCACTGTCAAGATGTTGTCCTGCTTTCCCTT